TCATGGCAGAGTGTTCAAAGCCCTGCCCTGATAATGCTCATCTCCTTCTTCCCAGAAGCCCCTATGGCTTCTCCCTCCCAAAAGTCTGCCCAAGCTCAGGGATGTAAAGGTTTACCCAATCCCCTGCACTCTCACCAAATAAATCAGCTCACACCGGCTACCAGAGCCCCTCCCCCACCAGAGCCTTATCAGGCAGAGCCTGCAGTTCATCTGCAGAGTGGCCACAGCCTTCCTGGTGGTGACTCCCTCCTGCTCTCCCTGCTTATTAAACTCTTTTCGTATCTACTTGCCTCCTCTCTTTAATATTCTGGGCTGCTCTAGATTGAGTACAAATCACTCTATCAGCTTTTATTTCTCAATGGGTTTGATGTGATGCCAGGATTAAGCTGCCCCGCCCTGAGTGTTTCCTACTCAGTTTGTGTGATGCTGCAGCTGAGCTCAAGAGGGCGCTGCACCCAAAGTGTGCGAGGCACCAATAAGCAGGTTTAGGGCCTGCATGCAATCACGTGGCTAGGCATGGGCTCCTGTCAACTGCCATCTTTGTCTTTTATCTTTCTCTCTTTTCTTCCTGGTCTTATGAGCTAAACCTCTGATGCTAGAGAGCATGAGAGAAGAACCTCTTTTCTTTGTGAATTACTTTAACTCGGCACAATGGCTCTTCCTTGCACAGAAAAGAACAATTTGGTTCATTTTAAAAGGAAATGCCTGAGGCTTTTTCTGGGGCCGGGCAGCGGCCAGGAAGGCCTGTTCAAGCCAGCTTCAAGTGCCTCTCTCCCTCCCTGTTTTAAATCCCACCTAGAGCAATAGCTTCCTGGTTTGATTTCTCCCTTAAGTGTAGGTAATTTAAAATCTATGACCTGAGGAGAACAAATAAACAGTGTTTAAAACTTAATTAAACTCTTTCAAATAACTTTTTAATAAATTAAATTCAAGATACTATGAGTGTATGAAAAGCAGAGTCATGCCTGTTCTTAGCCTTTTTACTACTGGAGTAAATGTAAGAGGTAATTTTCCCAGGAGCTCCATCCTGGTTAAGTAGCTTTATCAAGGGACTGGAAATACCTATACAGCTGAGCCATCAAGGGAATCAGAATACAAATAAAGTCATTAAGAGGTGCAAAATGCAAATTGAGCCATAAAGGAGCTCCAGTGGCTATGGGGAACTTTGTTAGGGAAAGTTCTGCCCTTACCTCATGGGAGTTACAGGGCTAGGTAAAGCCACCAGCTGACTCACCTCTTTTCTCCCTAGTGAGGTAATAGGTCCAATATGGTGACAAAAGACTGCCAGGAGACTTCCATGCTTTTGTAAACAAGATGCCTGTCTAGTCTGTGTTAGGGTCTTACAAAGGATATTCCGTGGACCTCTCGGGTCTCTTCCTTCTGTGTGGGATGCTGTCTTTAGGAGTCAATACCTGGCTGTCTCTTCCTCTCTTCAGGCCCTATCCCAAGCCAACTGAAAACCTCAAGGACCTCACCAGGAAGATTTCACTGACTTTGCCACTAGGTCATATTCTCAATGAGTGGAAAAGTTTTGATTCTGATAATCCAAAGCAGAAACAACTTAGCTCCTAAGGCTATATGGTTTTGGTTCAATATGACCTGGAAGGTGGTACATTCAACTATGAGACTATTCTTTAGTTACGGCATTTCTGTTTAAAACATGCAAAATGGAATGAAATGCCTCATATATAGGCTTTTGTGACTCTTTATCACGGGAAAGTCTCAAAAACTCAGAGGAAGCCCCTGTCCTAGAACACTAACAAATCTCTCAGGAGGATGTGAGTCTACCTGCTCTGTTTGATGATACTGAGAGGTCTCTTCTGCCTTCACCTTATGGTCCCCAGGCAGTAAATCAGGTCCCTTTTTCAGTTACAGATGTACAAGAGGCTAGGAACTATGCAAATGGATAATGCTTTTTAAAAGGAGAAAGAAACAGCTCTGCAAAGGCTATTTCCCCTTCAAGGGCAGCACACTGGGGCTGTAATACTAGTGCAGGACTAAGAGTGATGTCTGATATGCTGCCTGCTCTTACCAGGAAGTTGAAGAGGTAGGTTGCGTTTTTCATAAATATTACAATACAGATCCACCTTCAAGGGAGGAAGAAGCATTAAAAGAATATCACTGTATTTGTCAATCACTCCCAGATATTCAGCATAGGATACAAAAACTTCACAAGGGGCCACAGACAACCTATGACCCACTTGCTGGACATGGGCTTTTCTGTGTTCAGCAATGGGGACTCAGAAAAGGGACAAAAAAGAAATGCTAGGATTATGGCTTTTGCAATTGGTGATGCTTTAAACCGATTCAGAATGTCTAAGGAAAAACCCATGCACACCTGGGGAACAGTTTGTGTTTCAAGTACAAGAGGATTGGACACTGGGCACAAGACTGTATCAAGCTTCTGCCTGTAATCTACTCAGCTCATATGCCTGACTCATGGCATAGAGGTCTGATTGTCCCCGTTCCCAAAGAGGTGCTAGCCCAACCAGGACATTCATTTCCTGCTTTGAAGAGGCCCCAAGGAACTTACAATGCATTTGTTCAGGGACATCACCATCTCCTCTGAGGAACTTTGGATCATCTTAGACACCATGGTTCAGCCAATTCAATTACTTTATTCTGTTTTGACTTAATTCTCTAGAAAACCTTCCTGTGGACCTAAGGTCATAGTTGAGGTTGAGGTGACTCCTAATCTGAGAGCCTTTGTTACTGTATTAACAGAAGACACTATAAAGTTAACTTTGGGATAGACACTAAAGTCCTGACTCCCTATCAGGTTAGAGCTATCTGGGAAACAAAAGGCTACTTGCAGGTAAGAGGGGAATGGCTCACTAAGTATAAGGCCATGTGGTTAGACACCCTTGAAGTTATTATACAAAATAATCTCATACTACTATAAGTGTGCTTCTTTCTTTCCTATCAGCCTAGGAATTAGCCATTGTTATAAATGAGTGATCTCCTAGACTTATGCAAGCAGGCAGGACATCGATGATGGTTCCTTCAAAACCCTGAACAGGTACAGTTCCCTGAAGGAAGCAGCCAGTCTTCTCAAGCAAGCTGCAATCATATACTGTAAAGGGCACTAAAGGGCTATGCCTGAATTCTCCTTGGGAAATCAAAAGGCTGACAGGAAATCAAGAAAGGCAGCCTTAAAACCCCTTAAGAATCTAGCCTTATTCCCAGTTCTTGAGGAAACACTAAAATAAGTATACATTCGTCAAGAAATGGCCTCAAGACAAGGGAGAATTAAAAAGGGACTTTGGTTGTATTTATAAAACAAACAATCCTTTTCCCAAAGGACGCAGTGGAAGGTTATAAAGGCATTTCTTGATTCTTTCTGTGTGGGAGGAGATGCTGCACAGTCAAGTTTTCACAGGCCTAGCAGCAACCACTCAGTAAGTCTGCCAAGCTCTCTGTGCTATTACAACCCAGAGAAACCCAGGTTCTTAAAGGAGTTGTTCCCAGATTGGGACTACCACAGTAGTACCACAGACTACCTCTCAAGTAACTCAAGGAGTGGCAACAATTTTAGGAAAAAAGAAGCACCTCCATTCCACGTGGCAGCTTCAATCTTCTGGAAAGGTAGAGACAGCCCCAAAATAGGCTCTGGCGAAACTCCCAGAGACATCTGGGTCCTGGCTCCGATTGCTACCAATAGGACTCATCGGCGTTTGTAACATGCCCCAAACTAGGTTAAGTCTGAGCCCATTTGAAATATTATATGACAGGCCATTTCTCTCCTGTCTAATATGACAGGAGACCCAGAGACCACGAGACTCTTAGAATATCTCATTAATCAAGGCCAAATGCACAGGTTACCCATGTGTATGGGAGGGAAGTCCCACCACCACTGTCCCTCCTGGAGACCAAGAGCTTGTAAAACACTGGAGAGAGGGGCCACTTGCTGACCAGTTAAAGCCAAAATGGAAAGGTCCCTCCTCAGCAATCCTTGCCACACCCACTGCAGTAAAGGTATCTGTATTAAATAATTATATTCATCTTTCTAGAATAAAGCCAGTCCCACATGATCTTGTCTGAAGAACAATATCTCCCAAATGGAAAAAGCTACTCCCGTCAGTCTCTAGAAGACTTGAAATTTCTCTTCAAAAACTAAGCCTCTGGTGTAGCCACAGAAAGTGTAGAAATCTGACCTGGTCTTAATAATGCTGTGCCTTTCTCCTGTCACAGAGGCAGTTAATGGTCACTAAATTTCTTTCTCATTGTTTCTGATAGGTTTTTCTTCCTTCAGTCCAACCAGTGAGCCACAGTACCCCAAATTAGCTGGAGGGCACATAATCGCCATTAGGTAGGGTCCGTAGCCCCTTGTAGTTTGAAGCCCCTTCTAGCTCTCTCTCCTCCTTCAGCACCTCATAAAGACTTAGGGGATATCTGCCTCTCAGGGGAAAATGAAGACAGGAGATTAGAGCAAAGCTGGTGGAGGATGTAGGTGTGACTTTTAGAACGGGACTAACAAGTAACAGATCTGTTCTCTATTTCTGAGGCTGTTGCACGATCAAATGAGTTGAAATTTTATCACAAAACATGCTTGAAAAACTTTGAGATGCCACTCAAATGTGAGAGAATCCTTGGAGGGGCCCTGGAACACCTGCAGTCCCCATAATTTATGACAATGCCTTCTTAGGAGATAAAGAACTTTAGAAATACTGAGTTAAAACTTTGTATTCAGAAAGCTACAATTACAAGGCAAATAAGCAGAGCATCTAATAATTAATAAAACACTTCCAGTATTATTATGTGCTGGAGGGATGGGAGTTAACAACCACAGAGCCTTTGGCTTAGTTTAGTACATAGAACACAACTGGAATGGCCTGGCGGGGTTGGGTGTCACTGGGAGCCAAAGGACACAGAAAAATTTCTTTTCATCTAGGGGTCTGAAAGATCCTTGCAGATCCATGAGTCATCAACTGAAGCTTCTCACTTCCTTAATTACAAGCTAGTGACAATGCATCACAAATAACTACTAAAAATATACTTACCATATCGGCTGCGATGAGACAGGAAAGGGAAGGAATCTTTCATGATCCAGGTCAGATTCCACAAAAAATAATCAGGAGGAGTAGGCGTGTTTGTTGGAGGCTCCAAGGTACTACGACCTGGACATTAAAGAAACAGAGAGAGAGACAATACTGATCCACCTGCTAAGTAAGAATGGGTCTTACAGCTGTCACACAGTATCAGTCATAAAAATAGTTCTTGAGGGGTTTCCATGACATTCACGGGAAAGATGAGGGAACGAGGGCTGGGATTTTAGCATCAGTTCTGTGTAGCAGGTAGACATGCCACAAAATACAGTGAGAGGAGGAGAGAAGGGAGGAACTAGAGTTGGGTCTGCACCTAACCACTTTCACTAACGCCCCTAATGCCACTTGCTAGTCACAGTGATCCTGTAAAGATGGAAACTGTCATCTCACTTTACAACTGCAAGATCTGAGACTCGCAGGGTCAATGATAGAATCCAAACTGAGCCCAGGTCTGCCTAGTACCAACAGGCTATGTTCTAATACAAGTAGGCTTATTTGTCATTCCAACAGTAGCCTCTTAGAATGACGTTGTGAAGAAGAGGAAGAAGACAAAAAGAAAAAGCAGCAGAAGCATTTTCCCGGCTTTCTGGCTCCCAGTTTCTTCGGCAGCCGCTGTGGTACCAGCAAGCTCCAACTCTGCCTGCAGCTTCTTTTGAGCATCAACTCCACCTCTGCGGTGTAGGAAAATCTCTACGTGGGTGCCCGTGCAGCCTTTCATTGCCGGACCACTCCACTGTTTCCGTAAGGGCTGCTCTTTGGTAAAGCTGACCACAGGACTATATGCCCCTGTAATTGGAGCAGAATGAGAATTCTTGAAAGAGAAAAACTGCTTTCCATTGATCTGAACTGGAAATGCTGACTTCTGGGTACCTAGAAAAGAGATTTTGACATCCGACTTGCAGAGATCAGGATGGAATTAGGCGGAGTCAGATACACCTTCCTGCAGCATTTTTATAAAATAGCTCAGAGGAAAATGCATTGAAAGGGCTCAGGAGCTATGCTGGGGAGCTGCAGAGAAGCCATCTCATTTCATTCCTACATCAACTCTTTTTATAGGTGAACAACGGGTGCAAAGATGTGAACCCAGGACTGTGTAAGATTTCCTGGGGAGGGCTCAGTGCACCAGACTTTAAGAACGGTTTAATGTGTATTATGCATATATGGAACCGACACTCTGCTAAGTACTTTAAATGTGTTATTCCATTTACTTCTTATAATAAATACTGTTATTGTCCTCATTTTGCAGCTGAGGGAACTGGGGCTTAATGACATGAGATAGTTTGACTGAGCCCAGAAAACCAGGAACAGGCAGATCAAAGAGAGAATCCACAGACAGAAAAGCTTTCGCTCCTTCCACTGCCTAAAACGGACCTCTGCAAGTGAGTGCCAGGTGATCCTTGTTACTCTATAAGGCTTGCCAGCCCCTATCCTGGGCAATGGTAAAGGCTGGCAACCACACCTCTACAATGATTCTCGGGTAAATAAAAACTGACATATCTCTGTCTGAGTCATAGTTTAGCTCAAAATTTCACTAATATTAAAGCAACAGGAAGACTAAGATCGAGCTATATTTCCCTGTTTCCAACTGATGTCACTTTTCTTAACCATTATGCTTGAAAATAGCAGTTCCTTCTTCCTAGATATGAAGAATCAAGTCAATGGGGCTGGGTTTCAGGAAGTACAAATGACTCCATGGGTGGGCACAAAATGGAAGATGAGTTTTTACTAGGATGAGGACCAGGTAACACATCCAGAGGGGAAAAAATATCTGAATGCATTTTAAAAAGACCTGTAAGGGTAGTCATAAACTGACAAGGAGATATGGATATCACTGTGGGTCCCTCCAGATGTATTTTAAAGCAATTTATGGTCCACCAAAATGCAAACAAATACAGGATCAAAAGCAGAAAGCTTTATCCTACCTTGGTAGAAAGTTCCAGAATTATGGGATCAAAGAGTCCCCAGCGAGAGTAGAGATTAAAAAGTTAGGTGAGGCTGGAGGAACGAATGGGAGGATCAACCAAAAGATTGGGTCTCTTTATCTAAAAAGTTAAAGATCAGGAAAAGCACAGCCTACGTGAATGAAGTTGTCTGCCAGGACTGGACACGTTTGGGACTGAAGTGGGTGCTAGCCAACGTTCTGATACAGATATCACAGAAAATGACTTCTGCATCGCACAAGTGCCAGGTGGTGAGGTGGTGAGTTCCCTGGACAGTCCTTGTCCCACCCCATCTTCGCTGTGGTGAGAAGGGAGTTTTCCACCACAGAGAGAAACCATGCTATTTAACAGATGTAGAAGCCACCCATTTAACAGATGTAGCTCCACTCTGAAAACAGGAAGAGCCAGAGTGAAACGGGCCTCAGCCACACGGATTCATGAGGCACAACTGTCTCGAGTGGAATGAATCTTGGGCCCACTTGAGCCCTTGAAAAAATGAAAGGTAGGAAGTCTGGGATAAGAGTAGGGGTTTTCAGGTGCCCAAATGAGGTGCATGCTAATCATGGCCTAACGGAACGTACCTGGACTGAAGGCATTATTCACTGGCTCCTGGCAAGACTTGGACTGTCATTCTGGTGATTTCATGAGCCTCCAATACATGATTCTGGCTCCTTTGTCAAAGATCAGAGAGTTGAGCTGCCAGGAGTTGTTTATATAGCCTTTATTCCAGGGACGGTGAGCCTTTTCAAGACCGAGAGCCCAGACTGCCCACCCCAAATCACTTACGTATTGCAAAGTGCCAAACACAGCAACTACACTTGAATTTGGAGGTTTTAGTTTCAAAAAATAGCTGTTATCTGATGCTTGGCTTCTGGGTCAACTTGGCTCCTGTGCTGACAAAGAGGGCTCCATGTGCCCTCTGGAACACACATGCTACAGGCTCACCACCACTGACCCACATGTCTGCTTTGGTGCCAGTACCATGCTGTTTTCAATCACTGTAGGCTTTGTGATATAATTTGAACCCTAGGCAGAGGACTAACATCTAGGATATATAGAAAGTAAAAGATTAGTCATAAAATGGGCAACTGGAATGGACAGACACTTCTCAGGAGAAGATATACAAATCAGCCATAAATATCTGAAACAATGTTTAACGTTCTAGCCATTCAAGAAATGCAAATTAAAGCAATACCGAGATTCCATCTTACTCCAGTAAGAATGGCTATTATCAAGAAATCAAATAATAACAAATTCTAGAGAGGCTGATAGAAAAAAGGAACCCTTCCACACTGTTATAGATGTAACACATGACTATAGAAATCGGTATGGATAGTTCCCAAATAACTAAACACAGAAATTCCACACAACCCAGCTATTCTCCTTCTGGATACCTTCTTGAAAGAACTAAAGTTGTTGTATTATGGTGATGCACGCACACCCATATCTATAGCAGCACAGTTGTAACAGCTAAACATTGGAAGTGTCCTATCTATCCATCAACAGATGAATGAGTAAAGGACTGTGATATGGTGCACATGGAATATTTCTCTGCCATAAAGAAGCGTGAACTTGAGTCATCTGTAGGGAAGTGGATGCGCCTTGAGATCATGTTAGGCAACATAAATCAGACACACAGACTTAAATACTGCATGGTTCCTCTTACCTGAGAAGCCTAAAATACAAACTCGAGAACAAAGTACAAGATAAATAACAGAGAGATCTGTTACAAAGGGGAAGGAGACCAAGTGATAGAGAGAGGGCAAAAAAGGGTGAACAAGGAGAAGAAAACAGAATTAAGATGGGTTATGTAACATGTGCCAATTCTCCGCAAGGGATGTAATCGTTATGCACCGACACCACGTGCTAATAAAAAATTAGCATTTTAAAAGCACAATAAAATCAAGATTGCCCCCAATTCCAGGACAAGGTCACGGGTGGTCCTAGAACACAGATACAACAAGCGAGTTTCCGTTCTGATCTTAGTAACCCTGCTTGCAGCATCCGACACTCAGGGACCACCCTGCTTCTCGGATGCCTCCTGTGCTGGTTTCCACACAGCCCTGCGCTGCCTCCTGCCTCATCTGTAGGTCCTCTTGCCTCTTCTTTACTAGAAACTCACTTTCCCGACTGGGCAAAAGGAAAATTCTCCACTCTCAAATAGCACTTGCCTAGGAAGATTCGTGGATGAATATTGGATTTCTTCCTGGTGATTCCAGCAAACTGATGCTGATCAAGGACCGTGAAGTTCAAGTGACCCCTGGACACCAGACCTTTACTGCACCAAACTGAAGATTCTCTGCTGACAAGCCAAGCCTGGGGCTTGTTCTAACCAAGTTTACACCAATCTATGTTCTCATTCAGTTCTGAATTAGCCAGATTACCACGTAACTCTGTAAGTTTTTAGAACTTTGACTCTTTTTCCTTAGAGACTACTCAGTGAAATCTTCCTTGTCTGACATGTAAATAAACCCAACCTTTTTTCTTTTAAATAACTGTACAAGATCTTTGTTTTGTTATTTGACAAGTATTAAGTTTGAAAAATGGGGCTTTTTTCCTCTCTCTGAACTCACTCCCAAAGTGATCTCATCTAGTTTCATAGCTTTAAATGCCATCGATATACTAGTGCTACTAAGTTTCTGTCTACAGGCTGAAACTATCCCCTGAATATCATAATACATATCTAACTGCCAGTTCAAAAATCTCTTTCACTGCCTGATAAGCATCTCAGACACAACGTGGCAAAGTCAAATACGTGACTACCCTTCACACAAACCACACTTCAGAAATCAATTCCAATATTCCCCTGTTTACTTGGGCTAAAAACCAAGAAGAAATCCTTGCCTTCTCTTTTTCTCATACTCCACATCAATTCATCAGCAGATTTTGACAGCCCTGCTTGAATTGTATCCCTTCGTATCCTTGCTCCTATGATTTATCACCTGGACTACAGCTGGTTTCCCTTCAGTCTGTCCTCCGTGCATTAGCTAGACTGACAAACTGGCCTTGAAATAGTTTTCAAATTTCTTCCTATGGTCGCACCCTCAAATGCCCTACATGGTCTGGTCCCCGGCTCTCTCTGACTTTATTTCCTAGCATTTTCCCCTTGTTCACAGAACTCAATCTCATAAG